CTGCTTTGAAATTCAGAAGCTGATTCTCAATTAAACAAACATCGCCGAGTAAAAAAGGCCATCAATCTTTATAAACATATATTGATCAAGGGTAGTGATCACTAAGCACTGCATTAGTAAAGATCAACCATCAACCGCGGAGTTATTATCAAGAACAATGGCAAAATTTATCAATTATCGGAATAACACTTCTAGCTGCACGTAGTGTTTCTTTTCTGACCAATTTCGGCCTGATGAAGTCACTACGTGCGTCAGAAGACCGAGATAGAAGCACTGCCGGCTTTTAATCGACTTCAACAACCAATCATATTCCAGTAATACATTTGTTATATTTGCAATCTATCATCTTTCACCTGAATCATTGATCAATTTTTCCTGAACGAGTGCTCGTTTTCCTGTTTTGGGCGCTCTATTCTTCCCGTAATTCATCTAATTTCGTTCAACCCAGCTGCTTTGTGGGTATATTTAACTTTCCTCGTTGATGATATTTTTGTTTTCGTGTAATCCAAAGAGAGTGTGGGTGCTAAAATGGTTTTTCATTTCTTTATTTGCTTGTGAAAAATTTACGGAACAGACTCCAAATAGAACCCATTGCTGAGTGGAAAATCGCCTAAAGCTAAGAAATCGAATTTTAGCCTTAAACACGTGTGGCCGCTATAAAACAGAGCTCGGATTCGTTTGATGTCCCTGGCGTAGTTCGTAAAAAAATAACTGCTGTAGCAGCAAACTGGCATTTTCAGAGATATTTACTGCATATACGTAACGCTTCCTTAAATACAATATTTAAATATGTCTGTACTATTTAAGTAAGTCCAAAATCCCCCCATGGAAGAAAATAATATGTTAAACTCTTTCTGCACTTTTTGTATTTAAGTGTACGTTAAAACATTAACGTACACAGAGAATGCAGGATTAATTACAAAGCAGCTCGAATCACTGACCTAACAATCCTAGTGAGAAACGTCATTGTACTTCAGCTTTGAACCAAATTTAAGAAGAACTGTAGCTAAATAATAACGATCTAATTGTTGGGAAGCAGTGAACAGTTATTTCAGGTACAACTATACTGGAACGGATACTTTAATTTTTGCTTATCTTTCTAACCGTGAAAATATTCAGTTTGGTTCTTGTTCCCTTTCAATTTGAAATGCCGAAGAAAAGCTTTACCGATAAATGTTCCATCAATTTGATTTATGATCTTACGTTAGTTTTTCATGAATAAAAAGGATAAAAAGATTTTCTAAGGTAAAGGTATCAATGTTTCCGTGAAATTTCGCGTTTTGGAGTTTAAATCCGATTTGCAATCTAAGTCTGAATGAATTTCAATATTCACAAAGACCGGATTTTTAGGCAGGTAACTGAAGATTTTTCTCTCTTAAGCTAGCAGTTTGAAAGCTGCATTACTTACCTGAATGGGGCAAAATGATTCAGAACCATGCTTTTTCAGTTGCGGCGATCTTCACGTGCAAATGAAACGGTCGGATTCTCTCTGCAGTTTTTCTGTCGTTACTTTGAGAAGTGAGCTCTGTTTGAAGGAGTTTAATTTTGTGTTTGCTCAATTTAAGTTGAATAATAAATGACATATTTTTATATGATTTGACGGACGCTTGACGTAGAAATGTTTGCGCTGAGAAAAGCACCAGAGAATACTCATTTGAATATTTGTCGGGGGAGATTAGAATTTCCTTTATTACAACACATTGGCCACGTGAGCAATCAAAGGGAAAAAAGATTCAACTTCCTTGTCCAAGTTAGATTATAAAACCGTTTTATAATCTAATTTACGGGCCGTAAAACACTCTACCTGAAAGTAGCAACAACTTTCTGGCATCGTTCGAACGGACCAATAACGCTTTTTTTTAAGTACGGACTTCATAAAAAAACCACCGTATAACGGATTTTGCAATGATTTTGAAGAGAAACTTTGTTGAAAGACACAAACCTATGGTTTTGCAGCGCATAATGATTTCTAGT